TGTTTGGTGCCTCAGGTGTGTACATGCCTCTCCATAGAAGCAAGATGCACGCCATTTATCAGTACCTGGTTCATCTATAGAGCAGTCAATATGATACACCGAGTAACCCAAAATTTCGACTTTTATTGGATTGTTCCAGAAAATGCCAAGGCCTCCGCTCCGGCCCTGGCTACTAACAGCAAAGGAATTATCAAAACCAAGAGAATTTGCTAAATTTTCTACCCGAGCTCTATCTAGCTGAGTTTCGACGATACAAAGCAGGGTAGGGACAAACTTCTTCGCTAAATTGCGAAGTTCTCGGACTGTCGCGGCTTTGCCCGCACCGCGGCAGTTCCAGCTCAAGATACTCATTGTGCCCGGCGGTACTCCCCTCGGGAGCCCGCCGATGTTGCTTCTGTGTCGTTGCCCAGTCTCCCGATGCTGCTCTGGAGTTGATTTCCCTTGTCATCTGCTATGTCCACCCGAGCCCGTTTCGGGTCCTGCTTTGGGGGCGGGCTCAATGGGATCTGTGGCGCGGGGAGTGCAAGAATCTCATCTCCCTTGGGTTTAGACTTATATCCCCCTTGGATGTTAGCTATCGCTTCCGAGACTTGTGTGCGCTTCCAAAGCCCATCTGTCTCCCCTCACCTCGGTAGTACTCACCGAGTCCCCGCTTCCAAAGCCCATCTGTCTCCCCCTATGTGGACCAGGCCCACAAAAGTACGGGCCAGTCCCTCGCCCGGACGACCCAGGGTTACACGTCAAGTGCGGCCCGCTCCGCGTACCCATCGCGCTCCCGTACGAGACCGAGACGGCCGGGGAACGCTCCCAGATCGCCGCCGCGTAGCCATCCGCCGCCGGGTTCGACGAGGGAGCCGGGGCACGCAAGGCGGCCTATAGCCTATAGAGAGAGTAGTTCGTGGATTTTCGGGGATGCGGCCCAGCGGCGCGGCAACGTCGTGGGTTGTGGGGGCGGACGCGCATCTCTACGACGACCTGGACGCCGCCGCCATCCCGGCGCTCCTCGGCTCCTGCTTCGACGGCGATAACGTCGATGCTCAAGCCTGTACCAGCTCCAGTTCGCCGCGAAGTAAGCTCATCCCCCCTCCCTGCCAGCCAAATCCTAACTAGACTAGTAGAGTGCCCGTAGGCTCATAATATGATAAAGTAGACACAAATTGATGGTCAATTTTAATAACCGTCTCACAAAGAAGATATTATCTTGATTGATATTTTTTCAAATTGACCCTGTTTATTATTTACTCCCTTTCGTCCATTGATTTGAAGATGCAATCAGAGTCACCTTGTAGCCTCATATCGTGTAGCATCAACTCGTGGAGACGCCTTTCATGATTATGGTACCACCCATGTTCCCACTTCAATCATCAATTATTCATCCAAGGCTCAAAGTTATAGACATGTGTGGATTAGATGTTCTAAATACATTGTACCGTCTCATCCATCAAATATGAACATTTTTTTACTTATAACACCAGAAAATAGAAAACATGACTTGCCACTCATGGATGGTGAAGTCGGTGATATTTGCAGAATATGGTGAGGGTTGGCAGCACAAACGAACTCCTCCATGCTCTAAAGATATTGTAGGGTTTCATATGTACAAAAAGGACATCATCGGTACTCCGCAAAACTACCAAAATACAAGGGTATATATTTCAGTAGAAAATATGAAAACACAAATTTAAATGTTGGGCATAAACTTTAGAACAAGGTCTTCCAACAGTATTGACAACAAACTACATGTATATTGTTACATCAAAGCGGAAGTCAAATGCAAGCATCTATAATTGTACATAGCAACACCCTCATATAGCAATATGGCATGTCTAAGTGTCGTTTCACAACTAAAATTTCCTTGTATGTTCATCGGAGTTATATTTGGGATCCAAAGACCAATTCAGAATAGGGGTCACTTTGCATCTCAAATCATGGAATTGATTGGCTTTCAAACTTGCATAAAATTCTGCACATACTTTTGCTATATATAGAATCTCAAACATTAAGCCAGGAAATACAGCCAAGCTCAAGTGGGGGTTAGTAACGCTGACTGGACTACTTAATCATACTCCAATACTCCAAATGTTTAGCTTTATGTGTCTCAGTGTTTCAGATAGCCTTCTTAGGCCAAAAGGTACAGGAACAACACCATAAAGGGGTAGTAAAACAAAGTATTAACCTTTTTTATACTTATAGCACCAGAAAATATGACTTGTGGCACATGGATGGTGAACTCAGAGGATATTTGCAAAATATGCTGAGTGTCGTCAACACAAAAGAGCTCCCCCGGGACCCTTTGTCATCCATCGAATATTTACCATACCGGAATCAGAACGGCCTTTAGTTACTCAAGACTTTATTTGTTCCATTTTTGACACTGTTGTAAGGAAGGAAATAGAGAAAACATGGTAAACAAATTCAGACAATGATTTCAGGAAATAGAGAAATTGTTATTTTCCCGCATCCTCTGTATTTTCGGGTGAAATAAAATAATCTTTGAACATGTATCTAAAATAAATATATAATGGTATAATTATAACAGTAAAATTCTTAACACAGAAAGATCTGAAGGAAAAAAGGAAGGCCGGCCCGAACTTGCACCTTCAGTTTAAATGGACGTGATACCCCAGAAACTGCAGTCCACTATCATTGCTTGTTTGCTCTAGAGCATATGGACGGAGCACAATATAAATGTGTTTGATGACCACAAGTTAACAGCCAGACAAATTCAAGGTGGCGTCTAATCTTCGTGTTTGGGCTTATCATGCTAAGGATGCCCAAAAGTCGCACTGCAACAACGAGTGTAAATTCTACTCTACCGCCTCATTTAGGCGTTTCTCCATTGTCCACAAATATAAAATTTCAATAATTCGCACAAGCCCTGAACCTTCTGCATTCCTTAATTTAATGTTCAGGTGAGAAAAATGCATGTTGTAGTTTCCCTACAAAAAGTTTGAAAGGGAGTGATTGTACAGTCACATTAGCAGAAGTAACAGAGGAATCTACAGTGTTATTCTTCAGATCAGTATTGTCCATATAAATAAATCTATAGGCCGTAAAAAAACTAAACTGTGATACTTTTACTGACAGTGCCTCTTTAGTATATGCGAGAGTCTGAGTGCAACTTCATGTTAGTAGTTGCTGAGAGTAGCATGTATTATTGCAGTGCTCGAGATGAAACTACTCCTAGTTGAACATTCACACAAAAGGGACATGTTATAGACGACATGTGCCATTCCTTGTAAATTTCTGGAAAACGTAAACAGAAAGTAAAGCACAAGCAAAACTGACTTGTATTTTATTAAGTGCACATACTGTAGTTGTGCTTCTAAACAGGTTTTAGCTATTACTACCAATTTTGCTTAAAAATCATCTTGTGAATCAGCTAGTCGTGGTTACTCGTTAAAGCCTGCAATATCTACCTCCTCGGTTCAAGCTAGTAAGGTGGGCCCACAGTTTTTGTTGTGTCATGGTAAACTTCTCCCTCCCTCCCTCTCTTTTGCAATGATCTAATCAACCCCCCCCCCTCCCCCCTGAATCAGTTCAACCATCCACACAATTATGAGCATGAAAACAATTTAAAACTTCTGTACAAAACACAAGGTAATTGTTGTATCTTTGCCATCGGTAGCATTAATACTTGAGGCTTCAGGACACTCTAGGTTGAAGAGGAGGGCAGATAAGGCAGCAGGGAGGGCCACGGCGGCAGGAGAAGACCGGGCAGTTCGAACTAGTAGCGGAACCCGACAAATTCAGCAATCCCAATTTCACAGAGATGTAGTTACATATAAATAAAACCAGTTCCAAACCTAGTACTGAGAACCATCATATAAAAGCTTATGCAATTACATCATTAGCAGACATTATTAGCACATAGGGGATTTTGGTAGTTGGTACTCAGTGCTCACCAATGTATGATGCACTTGTCAAAGCTGTTCTTGAGTAGACGCCCACCGCCCTTGGTAATCTTCTCTCAAGCTCGGTCCCTGTTATTTGCATGCTCAGACGACCACCACCAGGGTTGTCTGTATAATGCAGCCAGGGGAACTAACATGCGCGGATAATTTGTAAGAATGCACCTTCGCATTCACAGAATCACAGATTCAATTACATTTTTTTTTCTTGCATTCCATAAACTTTAATTCCTGTTTGTTTAAACAAGCAAATGTAGGGGAGATCATCAGACCAAACATCCTAAATATCTAGATGACAAACAGAAGCTATAAGAGGCTGGAACTGATACAACAATCCTTTTATGCCCAGCTCAAATAAAATATGTATCCATAGTTTGATTCTGCTATATCATGTAATATTTTATTCAACGTCTCATGGAACTGGCCCCTGTCTGCTAGATGCAACAAATGACAATAGTTTTTGTGGTTCCTTTTTAACATACAAAAAATAGTAACATACTGAATTGATGATTGTCTATCGGCACAGAGCCAAATATTTGATTATCTCATGTAGTACATAGATGATGTGATTTCCACTAATATTTTTAGTCAGCTCGATTTCCAGTAATATTTTTACTTTTTTAGTCAGCTCTAAAAGTTATTAGTTTGTTACTTATGTACTGACATTATTGTCCTGTTTTATGTTGTCCACATGAAGGTTGTTCTTCTCACTCAACAGATCTGCATCTATCAATAATATAATGAGTTGTTGTTTTGTTTCCAGGCCATGGTTCTTCCATCCCACACTTATCTTCTCAAGGAAACGCACATCAGTATTCTTCATATGGTGGTGGATACCACTATACCAGAGTGGTAGTACAACAAAAAAGATTGATATCCCAAATGGAAGGTATGCTACTTGGGAGTTTACTTGTTTGGTTTTTGCATTCTTGTAGTTGATAACAGGTTGCATGAAGTGCAGTTTTTTTTGCTCTGCTAACTGATAATGTTCATAACTTCTTTTAGGTTGGTGTTATCATTGGAAATGCTGGAGAAACTATAAAGCATATCCAACTTCATTCAGGGGCAAAGATCCAAGTAACAAGGGACATGGATGTTCAACCCGGGTCACGGACAAGATTGGCTGATCTTTCGGGCACTCCTGACCAGATAAGCAGAGCTGAGCAGTTGATAAGTGATGTTTTTGCAAAGGTACTGTGATATCTTTTTTATGGTCAGGACTTCACATTTAGCTGTGCATCCATTTATTCAACCATACTTGTCATGTGACCTTCTGCAGGCTGATGCTGGCTCATTTGGCACTATCTCTAGTTGTGTTGAGCAATTCCAGATGCAAATTGCTAACAACAAGGTAAGCTGGCTGCTTTCTTGACGAGATAGTCAAAGATGTTCAATAGATTGTGAAAATTTATATCTAGTAAATGAGCATGGTGGTTATTATATTGGTGGGTAAATGGATCTTTAATAAACTTGAAGCAATTTGGATTTAGTTAGGTGATTATGATCTTGAACCAAATTTCATGGTGGATTATGAGATTTTGATGCATTTATTTAGTTCATTTTGATCTTGAGGAGATAGTCAAAGATGTTCGATGGATTAATTAATCTTGGGCAATTTGGATTTAGTTAGGTGATTGTGATATTGAACCATATTTATGATGGATTATGAGATTTTAGGTGGATTTAGTTACGTGATTTAATCTTGAGAAGATAGTAAAAATGTTTTGTGGATTATGAGATTTTAGGTATGGTAGATGAGCGTGGTGATTATTATATTGGTGGATAAATAGATCTTTAATTTTGTTTGGAACATTTTGGATTTATTTAAGTGATTGCGATCTTAAACCAAATCTCACGATGGATTATGAGGTTTTGATTGGATTTTGTTAGGTGACTGTGATCTTGACGAGCTCGTAAAAGATGTTCGGTGGATTATGTGAATTTAGGTCTAGTAGGTGAGCATGGTGGTTATTATATTGGTGAATAAGTAAACTTGAGAAAATTTGGATTTAGTTAGGCGATTGTGATCTCGAACCAAATTTCATGATGGATTACGAGATTTTAGAAAGATTTAGTTGGTTGATTGTGATCTTGAGGAGATACTGAAAGATATTCGATGGATTGATTAATCTTGAACAATTTGGATTTATTAGGCTATTGTGATATAGAACCGAATTTCACAATGATTTATGTGATTTTAGGTGGATTTAGTTAAGTTATTATGATCTTGGGAAGATGGTCAAAGATGTTGGGTGGATTTTAAGATTTTATGTCTAGTATGTGAGCATGATAACTATTATATTGGTGGATAAACAGACCTTTAATTTAGTTTGGTGATTGTGATCTTTTAACCAAATTCACAGTGGATTTTGATATTTGGGTTGGATTTAGTTAGGTGATTGTGATCTTGATGAGATAGTCAAAGATGTTTGATGGATTACAACAACAACAACAACAACAAAGCCTTTAATCCCAAACAAGTTGGGGTAGGCTAGAGGTGAAACCCATAAGATCTCGCAACCAACTCATGGCTCTGGCACATGGATAGCAAGCTTCCACGCACCCTTGTCCATAGCTAGCTCTTTAGTGATACTCCAATCCTTCAGGTCTCTCTTAACGGACTCCTCCCATGTCAAATTCGGTCTGCCCCGCCCTCTCTTGACTTTCTCCGCACGCTTTAGCCGTCCGCTATGCACTGGAGCTTCTGGAGGCCTGCGCTGAATATGCCCAAACCATCTCAGACGATGTTGGACAAGATGTTTGATGGATTATGTAAGAATTTATGTCTAGTAGTGAGCATGGTGGTTATTATATTGGTGGATAAGATATTTAGTAAACTTGGAGTAATTTGGATTTAGTTAGGCTAGTGTGATCTTGAACCAAATTTCATGGTAATTACGAAAATTTTAAATGGATTTAATTAGTTAATTGAGATCTTGAGGAGATAGTCAAAGATGTTCGATGGATTAATTAATCATGAACAATTTGGACTTAGTTCGGTGATTGTGACATTGAACCAAATTTGTCGGTGATTTATTTGATTGTGGGTGGATTTACTTAGGTGATTGTGTCTTGATAAGATGGTTAAAATGTGTGGTGGATTATGAGAATTTAGGTATGTTAAATGAGCATGGTGATTATTATAAGGGAAATGATTCCCTTCAACCGACAGATCTTATGCGAGCATCCACCGCCTCCATGTCTGTTGGATGGGCTTCATTAGACAGTCAGGAGCACCTGGTCCATTGTTTTAGAAAGAGATTCTGCAACTAGCCCCTTTTTGCAAATCGACTAAGAGCTAAATCCCACAGGGGCTAGATCCCGCAACATGACTTATGTTGCAAAACAAATCCCACAACACGACCCATGCTGCAAAAAAAATCTGCAACACAACCCATGATGCAAAATAAATACCACAAACACAACCTAGTTTGCCAAAAAAAACACAACATAACCTCTGTTGCAAATGTCTCCGCAATAAGACATCTGTTGTTAAAAATATCCATAGGCCGACGCGTAGCAGGCCCCTTATTATATTGGTACATAAACAAATCTTTAATTTAGTTTGGAACAATTTGGATTTAGTTAGGTGATTGTGATCTTTCAACCAAATTCATGGTGTATTTTGCGGTTTTGTTGGATTTAGTTAGGTGACAGTGATCTTGACGAGATAGTCAAAGATGTTTGGTGAATTATGTTAATTTTGTTCTAGTAAGTGAGCATGGTGGTTATTATATTGGTGGATATTAATGGATCTTTAGTAAACATGGAGCAATTTGGATTTAGTTAGGCGATTGTGATCTTGAAAAAAATTCACGGTGGATTACGAGATTTTCAATGGATTTATTTAGTAGATCGTGATCTTAGGGAGATGTCAAAGATGTTCGGTGGATTAATTAATCTTGAACAATTTGGATTTAGTTAGGTGATTGTGATATTGAACCAACTCCGCCTATGTTTTTTCAACATAGCCGGTCCAAGCCCTGGTAAAGGAGGAGGGTTGTGATAGGCTTGACGAGCCAACATAAAAACTCAGTCACTCTTATGGAGATGAAACCCAAAAGATTTTCGTTGGACGTAACCCTCTCAACGACGCGCCACACCGGAACCTGGGTGTGGTGTCAAATGGGCAAGGGCCGGATTGTCACCCCTTCGGTGGCACGCCGTAGCTTGATCTGGATACAGTGGCAAGTGAGCGAGGATCAGGTCGTCGCATCCTTAGTGGCGCGCTACATCGGCGCCCTGATGTAGTGGAAAATGAGCAAGGGTCTTCACATTTGACTCGACGAGTGCGAAGGGTAAGGAAGCTAGCCGAGCCTAGTAGGATCCGCTTAGGTAGCTGGAACGTAGAGTCTCTGACAGGGAAGCTTGGAGAGCTAGTTGATGCAGCGGTGAGGAGAGGTGTTGATATCCTTTGTCCAAGAAACCAAATGGAGGGGACAGAAGGTGAAGGAGGTGTAGGATACCAGCTTAAGCTGTGGTACACGGGGACAGTTACAAACAGAAATGGCGTAGGCATCTTGATCAACAAGAGCCTCAAGTATGGAGTGGTAGACGTCAAGAGATGTGGGGACATGATTATCCTGGTCAAGCTGTTAGCTGGGGACTTAGTTCTCAATGTTATTAGCGCATATGCCCTGCAAGTAGGCCACAATGAGAACACCAAGAGGGAGTTCTGGGAAGGCCTGGAAGACATGGTCAGGAGTGTACCGATTGGCGAGAAGCTCTTCATAGGAGACCCTCAATGTCCACGTGGGTACATCTAACACAGGTTTTGAAGGGTTGCATGGGGGCTTTGGCTATGGCATCAGGAATCAAGGAGAAGATGTCTTAAGCTTTGCTCTAGCCTACGACATGATCGTAGCTAACACCCTCTTTAAAAAGAGAGAATCACATCGAGTTGCTTTTAGTAGTGGTCAACACTCTAGCCAGAATCATTTCATCCTCTCGAGAAGAGAAGATAGGCGCGCATGCTAGTCAAAGATGTCCGGTGTATTTATCTAATCTTCAATAATTTGGATTTAGTTAGGTGATTGTGATATTGAACCAAATTTCTCTGTGATTTATGAGATTTTAGTTGGATTTAGTTTGGTGATTGTGTCTTGAGAAGATAGTAAAAAATGTTTGGTGGATTATGAGATTTTAGGTCTAATAGATGAGCATGGTGATTATTATATTGGTGGATAAACATATATGTAATTTAATTTGGATTTGTTTAGGTGATTGTGATTTTTTAACCTAATTTTACCGTGGATTATAAGGTTTTGGTTGGATTTAGTTAGGTGATTATGATTTTAACGAGCTAGTAAAAGATGTTCGGTGCCTTATGTGAATTCTGGTTCTAGTAGGTGAGCATGTTGATTATTACATTGGTGGATAAATTGTTCTTCAGTAAACATGGTGAAATTTGGATGAGTTAGGCGATTGTGATCTTGAACAAATTTCATGGTGGATTACGAGACTTTCAACAGATTTCGTTGATTGTGATCTTGAGGAGATAGTTAAAGATGTTCGATGGATTAATTAATCTTGAACAATTTGGATTTGGTTTTATGAGATTTAAGTTGGATTTTGTTAGGTGACTGTGTCTTGAGAATATAATCAAAGATTTTTTGATGGATGATGAGATTTTAGGTGTAATAGATGAGCATGGTGATTATTATATTGGTGGATAAACAAATATTTAATATAGTTGGAACAATTTGGATTTAGTTCGGTGGTTCTGATCTTTTAACCTAATTTTACGTTGGATTATAAGGTTTTGGCTGGATTTAGTTAGGTGATTAATTTTGACAAACTGGTAAAAGATGTTCGATGGATTATGTGAATTTAGATCTAGTAGGTGAGCATTTTGATTATTATATTGGTGGATAGAGATGAGGGCCACACAAGTGACTTAACGCGATGATGCCACTACTGAAAATAACTAGTAAACAAGGCAATAAAGGCGGAGAGGCTAGGGGTAGTGGCGGTAGATGGACTTGACATCTTACATGCCTGTGCACTCTCCGTTCCGCACTGGTCTGGCTTGGTGTCCTTGTTCTGTTTGCGGGTTTTGTGTCACGCACTTGATTAAGCATCCCACGTTCTCCTACTGTGCGCCCTTGACCTTGACGATAGGTAGCGCCGTGTTCTCGGGCGTGTCTCGTGGGTAAAATCCAGGTATGCGCCGATTGTCCGAGCTCTTGCTCGCCATTGGTGGTGCTTGAGCGTGTGGTTATGGTGGCATCCAGCAAGGGAACAAGGGATGTGGGATCAAGACAGCACACATAGCAACCCGCCACCAGGCAATGGATGCCCATCCGGACTTCCAGGGAGCGAAGGTGGACACAAAGGTGGATGTTGAGCTCCATAGCAGTCTCAATAGTGTGC